GTCCTTGCTGAATTTTTTTTTTTTTTTTTTTTTTAGTATTTCATTCTAGTTTCGAATAAAAACCTACTCAGATGTTTGAGGCAGTGGATGGGAAGGAAGGAAATGGGCTGTTTTGCTCAAACTAGAAAATACTGTTGATGTTTCTGTTATAGACCACATGCACCCTCCTTTTGTGGAAGAAAAAAAAACAACTTTGTCAAAGGGCAGATTTTGGTTGGAAGACTTGATTTTGCTCTGTGATGTTTCATTGTTTAGGCAGAATGACTCTTGATCCACAGTTGGAGGGGAGAAATTTTGCTAAGAATGTTTGGGAGCTTATAGGGGAGATGAGGAGTGGCAGCTCTTGTTGGGTAAGGAAATCAGGGCTGAGAAGTATTTGGGAGTGGCTGGGGAACGATGGGTAGTGTGCGATTCAGCCTGCTGGGAAGAAGTGGCTGGATGGGGAGGAAGTCAAATGGATGGGGAAGGAGAGACCTAGAGCTGCCTGGCCGTGGGTGCAGGAGGGTGGGGGTTCAGGTCACTACAAACGATGGGGATCTGGAGGTGACAACGGACTTTTGGCCTTGGAAACAGTGGTAGGAAGGCAGAACGGGCAGCTGGAGCTGGAAGAGGACTAGTGCTGGCTGGGAGGGCCTTGTTTTTCCCCAATCCTCCCCATTTATGCTCTACAAAATACTGGGAAACTCAGCGCATGCAGCTGAGGTTCAAGCACCAGAGGAACCTCATGAGTGCTGAACAGGAGTTACAAAACACCAGAGCTCAGAGTTTCACCCGTGGAGCTGTAATTTAATCTCCTCACGTGCATACAGTCTAATTACAGAATCCCATGCTATCTTCCCTGGGAAACCTGCCCCATTTGGCATGTGGGACGGATATATTCTGGGGAGAAATCAGTGCTGTGCAGTGAGTTTTTTCCATAGGAACTCCGTATCTTTTGTGGCAGAAGTTGGCAGATGTACCCTTTGCACATGGAAACCCAATCCTGGCATCTCTAACCTTTGGAGCATTTGGCTTTGTGACCGAAATGGTGTGTTTTTAATGTGTGTTTGTGTGCAGCCCATTTCTGTCTCTGTGCTGAGATCAGGGACCTTTACAAGGGTCCATTGCAAGGACCTTTCTGACACTTTAAAGTGTCCGAGGTGTCTGTTTCCAATGACAACCATGTTCCTCCCCATGTGTGTCCTGCTTGATCTGAAACAGAGCCGTTGGTGTGTGTCCCCTGACCAGCCCCGCAGAAGTTGATGGTCAGGTCAGATCGGACACCAGCTTTGCCCTTTGAGAGCAGTCTCCTGCCAGATGTGTGCGAGTGAAGACCCATCTCCTCTTTGCCTCATACTTGTTGTGGTTTGTTGTCTGGGGGAGGGAGGAGGTGGTAGGAGTTGGTTTCCAGGGACTGGAGGAAATGAGAAGCGGAGCACATCTGCCTGGCAAAGCTCCTTGCATTAGTGAGGATGTTTCCTTTCTCCATCTCTCTGTGTCCTAAATTGTAATAACATGATCATGCTATTTTTGATTCCCTTATTTGCGTGGAAAGCCTGTTGTTTTTTCTCTTCTCTTTCAGAATCCAATTTTCTCTTGACATTTCTGCCTAATGTAGCAAAACATGACCTTTGAGAAAGGACATTCCAGCAAGATTCACTCCCTCCTCTGCTTCTCTGCCTCTCTCCCACATCTCGCTGTCTCTCATGCATCTCCCTTTACTCTTCCTTCTTCTCCCTGGGTTGGGGGAGGGAGTTTACTGTCTCACTTTTCAGTAGCAGTGAGCTGCTCCTTCCCCTCCTACTTTTCATCTGTCTTTGCAAAGTTTCCAGGTGCTCAGTGCTCCAGGGTGGATAAAAGAGGGAGTTTTGCAGTATTTCCCCCCCCCGCCCCGCTTATCTTCGCCTGCTATTTTTGCTGCCTTTCTAAACTTTATCAGAGGCTGGAAGCAGTTTGTCTACAGCCATAGGAATGGTGGGATCTTAGTCATGTGAAATGAGGTACCTGTGGTTTGCTGTGGTTTCCGCAGCAGGATAGTCTGATGTGAAGCAGAGCCAGAATTTAATGATGCAGCACTGTGCCATCGTGGTGTTTGGGCTCATTCTTCTGCCAGGCTTGTGGAGAGCCTTTGGGAAGCTGGTTTGCTGCGTGAGCTGCAGCGGCTTCCCCATCCCTGATTGCGGGGTTTTGGGCTTCGCAGCATTACTTGGTGGCAGGTAGGACAGGACCAGAGTTGCCTTTCCCTTGTCAGTCCCTGGGCTGTGGCCTCTCTGCATTTGCCCAACACATGTCTGCCCTTGCTGCAACCCGGTGTAAGGCGACAAATGAATCTCTCATCCCAAATCCTCCTGCATCAGACCTGCACTGGCAGGAGCTGTTCCAGGAATTGCTCTCTTGGTTTTAGCGTGTTTCTGCAAATCAAGCAGGGATTGTGGGCTGAGCCCGGCACGGCTGGGCTGCCCGTTGTCACCTCTGTGCCACCTTGTCCTGTACCTCCTCTCTGGCCAGCCGAGGGTTTAATGAACCTCCAGGTGGTTCACGCCTCTGGTCCTTCACCACCCTTTCTAGTGAGCAGGGCTGAGGCAGGAGGGTGCCTGCAGCCTTGTGCCAAGATGCCCTGCCTACCCGCAGCCCGCCCTGGCGGCTCGCAACGGGGAGGGAGCTGGTGGGGACAGGGCTGGATTCAGCAAAGGATGCGAGGCAGCACCTCCTGTGCTTTCTGGAGGCCAGTATAGATATGGGAGGATTCAGTATAGATATGGGAGGATTTGAGTTTCTGCCAGAGCTTGTGACCACCCGTTCCTCTGCTACTCCATGGGCTAGTCCCTCAGTTGGTGGCTCTCAGGCTGGCTGGGCATCCCCGGAAAGGCTGCCCACTACAGAAAGCATTTCAGTACCATTTTCTCATGCCGTTAGAAACCTGGGGCTTTTCTCTTTCTGCTTATTCTGCCCCAAACATATTTCTTCCTCTTGTTTTTAGTACTTTGGTTGCTTTTACACTCTTATCCTCTCTGGCTTTCAGCTGAAGAGGCAATGTCTGCTGGGTTGCAAAGCTTTCCCAGGTAGATGAGATTTATGTTTTTGCAAGTTTGGGCAGATGGAGAGAGGGATGGGGAGCTGTTGGCTGCTGTAGCGGTGGTACCCCTGGGTGCAAACAGCACACAGCCATACCGGGACACTTTGAGCACACAGCTACTGCAAATCATATGATAACACCTTGGGTAATCATCGTGCTGTCATTTTAACCTGGCTGTTACTATTTTTAACACGATGTTTGTACTTAAATTTTTTTGTTCAAGGTATGAAATTAGACTTGTTCTTTCTGCTTATGGTTGGTTGAGCTCCAAATTCATGGGCAAGAATTGGACACATCTTGCTCTGTTTGGATTTTTTTCTTAACACGGCAGCAGGATAGAAACCATTTTTCCCCTTGGAAAAAAATAAGTAAAATGAGAAATTTCCATTTGGGTTTGTCCTCATTAAAATCTCTCATTATGAAATCTAAACTTGGGTCCTAAACTACTTGACAGCCTCCCTGTAGAGGAGGACGATGAGCTCTGCGGAGGCGGTAGGGCCACGTGCAGGAGGAATTATTTACTGTGACGACTGCTTTTTTTTTTTCTCATTAATTTTCAGAGACCTCTCTGGGAACCGACTCACCACTCTGTCATGGCAACTCTTCCAGACCCTGCGACTCTTTGAACTGTAAGTCCCACCCTGGAGGTATCTCCTGGGAGAAGAGGGGAGGCTAAGTGGAGGAATGATTTCCAAATAAAGCTATTTTGAAGCCTGTGAATAATTACCTAAAACTCCAGTGGGCAGCACCATCCTTGGGAGGGTTTCCCAGGTACAGGAGCGCCAGAGCAGAACTCCTTCTCTTTTAACTTCACAGCACCTGGCTAATTAACGTTGGGATGATGAACAAGTCATGCTTGGGGTAGTAAACGGTTGACTAACTCTGGAAACACATTAGAAATACTTACTAGGCCAGATTTTGTGTGAATCTTCTCAAATACTTGATCCTCATCTGTTGCAGGGTAGGGCTAACTGTTTTTCCTTGGCTCATGGACGTGCTTTATAAGACACCCGTGCTTTTTAGGCAAATGACTCCCTTGCTCTCTAGCAATCAAAGCACCTCCCAGCTCCAATGTGGGAGAGGAGATAGTGTCTCTCCTGGGGCACCGGTGGCCTTCGGCCTGCTGAATTATTGATAGAGCATTCAGTGCTGTGCTTGAAGAATAAGTGGACATGAAATCAATGGAGCGTTGCCCTGATGACCTGTTTTGTTGAATTTTAGAAATAGTTGTTTGGTGGGAATAAAAAAATATATATATGTAGGATTTGTCCCAGAGGATCCTGGGAAGCTCCATTCATCCTCACTGATGATCAATAGAGCTGTAAGCTAGAAGTGACTTATGAAAGAATAAAGACAGCCTTTCAAGTGGGAGTAAGTGTTATCACCGGTGTTACTGCAGTGTATTTTATTTCTGTCAAATTGTTAAATGAAAAATACTAATAGTGATATTAGAAAATAGAGAAACGCCCTTCTGATGCGGAATCTGGCTTGCAGAGTTAAAACGCTGAATTTGGAATTTGTCTCCTCTCTGATTACAGCTCTAAATATTTTTCAAGCCTGGCTCAGATTTCAAGTTTAATAGCATGAGTCATTTGTATTCTTAGACCTTTGCTTATTGTCATTGCACTGTCTGGCAAAACTCAGATTGATGGTTGTTACCCAAGAGAGACCCAAGAGTGGAGGAGCAAATGGGGCTGCAGTCCTGAGCTAGAGGCACTGGCAGGGCCCACGGCAACAATGAGCCTGCAGATTAATGGGGATACTTCCATCGGGGCTCGTTTTTATGCGGCTTTGTTTCATTTGGTCATATTTTGTTTCTTCAGGCATGTGCCAGGTCTGCCAGCCCAAGTCAGGCTCAAAAGACCAATACCAGCCACAAAGGGAACTGAGATGTTGCTGTTTGGGCAGCAAAGTGTACTTTTCCCCACCTGATGAAGAATATATCTGTGTTGTCCGGCTACGGTGAATCTGACAGGGAAGCTGGTGTGCTTGAGGTGGCTTTGGTCGGTGTCAGCAAAGTCACTCGGGGCCAGCGCTCTGCAGCCTGGCAAATGGGAAGGATCTGAATTACTTGGCTCCAGTTGGAGCTGTTCTCAGAGCAGTTTTCTTGGAGATAACAAGCCCTGATTGATGAAAGAAGTAATGCAGATAGAAATGTAGGAGAATGTGGAGCTGGTTGGTAGGGAGAGGTGATGGGGTGGGAACGCAGCACTGATGTGATGCGTGGTGTCCACAGCGTCCCATGGGGAGGCTTGGCACCCTGTGGGGCTGGAGCCTCTGCCACTGTGCGATGAAAGGGGTCTTGGCAAACAACCCCCTGGGCACGAGCTCCAGTGATCAACTTAAACTTACAAATGCGCATGCCTGCAGGGTCTGGCTAGCTGTTGGCTGGGCTGGAGTAAGAGCCTGGTCAAGTTTATTTTTTTCTGAAGAAATGTTTTGTCACTGTTGCTTCCTGACAAATTTTCCCTTGTCACTAAGGACCCTCCATCCACATCAGCACAGCTAGGATGGTCAGTACCAGAACAACATGATGATGCTATTCCTCAGAGTGTGACAGGAGAAGGCATATTTTAGCTGGTATCTACTGGGACATTGGTGTTAATGGAGCAGGGGGATGTGCCTGCAGTGTCCTCCCTGGGGCCATGAAACTGTCCTGCTGAGCTTTGGATTTGTATGAGAGAAGACATCATGGAGGTGTAGCCTGAGCTGTGGGCTCTGAATAATCATTCGCATAAAGATGCTGGGATTTAAGGTAAAGCCATGTTATCTACTGTGGGGTGGTCATGGTCCTGAGTGCTAGAAAGATGGGACCTATTGATGAGGAAAAGCTAATCCTCAAGATGGGGAGAAATTAGTAATGGATGCACAAAAGTTGGAAATATTGTATTTTTTTTTAGAAATGCAGAGGATGGGTGAGTAGAAGACAGATTTTTGGCATGCTGAGCTCCAAGGAGGCTTCCAGAATCTGGGAGGGAGACAGCACACATGGCCCACATAAAGTGAGTGTGAAGCACTGGTGAAAGCTAGAAAGGGAGCTGCAGACTGACATCAGCCAAGGACTTGAAGTTGAGCCAAAACTCTCTGGGAAGGAAGAAGGTGGTGAGCAGCAGAGACTGATGCAGAGGCAGCAAACCTGAGGAAGGCAGGCTGAGCAGCAGCACTTGTGCACGAATGTGGAGAGGCTAGAAGGCCTCAGGGACAGATAGATGTGCAGGTCTGTCAGGGTTAGGTCTACAGGGAGGGTTGGTGGGACAAGCAGGCGCAGTGGTTCACCAGAGGCACTCTATTATAGAGTACCAGTGCCCCAGTGCTACCAGGCGATCATGGATGCGGAGGGAGGATAGTCATTGAAGGTAAAACTGCGACGTGCAGTGAGGCAGCTTGGAGCAGCGGAGCACGTGGGAAGGGAAGCGATGGGAGGATTGTCTCCGGGAGAGTGCTGGGAGGAGAGGAACTACAACTGATGCGACATGGAGATTGCCAGGGAACATGAGACCTGACAAAGCCGCTCATGGTGAACACGAAGGAGGAAAAAGCAGAAAACTAATTTGAAGATCATGCTATGCTATGAGAGCAGGCAGGTGGCTGGGAGCTTGGGGCTTGAAACAGCTGCCTGGCTGCATTCAAGGCATCTCAAGCTCAGGAAGATGGTATTGCTTTAAAGCAGAGTTTCTTTTCTGTCGAACAGAGCTGAGCTTTTCCCCTGCTGACTTACTGAAGAAAGGATGGCAAAAATGAGGAACACTTCCAAAAAATATTGTCTCTTTCTCCTCCTGGTCAGAAGCAAGGCTTGGAATGGTTTCCAGTAACTCCAGCCCTAATTCCCACAGCATGGGCTGACCTTGACCAGCAGGGCTCAAGCTAACGTGTGCACAGCTCTCCTAAGTCTGTAGCTGAGTGTGCACAGGGAAGCATCTGACACATGCAACAGCTCATAAACATTGGACTTAGAGCCTTTCTTATCCAGAAGTCGCAGCTGGTTTCCTCTGTCATGTCCTTGGCTTCCTTTGTCATGTCCTCAGAGAGCGTAGGGCTGACATTTCAAGAAATTCCTTCCCAGAAAGACCTAAGACTCTGGATCCAATTACATATAATATATAAAACCTTGTCGTCCTGAACATCTTGCCCCTCTGCCCAACCCATCAGCATTTCTAATACTAGCAGTCCCTGCCAACTTGTCCTGCAGTAGATTTCTGCAATGCTACAGCAAAAGGCTTTGGTTGGGATGGGGCACAGCAGCATCTCTGTTAATGTTATGAGTCCAACTTATCGTCGTCTGTGCCTCTAGCTTAAAAACTTATTGCTGCCAACAGTCACGCTAATAGAGTTGTAGCTAGACAGTGAATACTTGCCTGATCTCTGCATTAGCTAATCCAGCCATCACACGCCATGCATCGGTCCCTGTCTGAGTTCTTTCCTTTCTATCCCATCCCTTTCTGGTGGGGGTTTGGAAACAACAATTCTGGCTGGACTGCCAAGAGAAGTGCTGGTTCTGGGAAATAAATAGAAATGAAAAAAAAAAAATAGGTTTTGTTCTGTGTCTGCTGGGCACTGATTCTCCAGCTTCGGGGAAGCGGTCTGAGTCCTGAGGTAGGAGAACATTTTAATTGCAAGTGTATGAAGCCTCAGCAGCAGTTTTATGTGAATCAAAACAGACAGGATAAGTGTGGTAAGGATCTCTACTGCCCTCTGAGAGGCTTTAGCTGAAGACAGCTTTGTTTTAGCTGATGAGTGGGGAGGCTTGGGACAGGACTTGTATCTCATCTAGCTGCCTAGCCTGAAACAAACCTGCTCTGTGTGTATGTGAAGTCCTGGCTGTCCCAGTACATACTGGGATGCTGATGGCATCCCTCTTCTGCCCTCGTCCACCCTGGTGTAGGCTGTCTCCAGGAAGTTTTGGGAGGTGATGGGTACAGCTTTCTGCAGGTAGCAAACCTGGGCTCAGCCAGGCATTTGCAGCATCGTTGTCTCTAAAGAGTTGACTTGGTGCCCGGATGGCTCTGGGGTTTCATCTCTGTCATCGTCCCCTCAAATGACAGTGCAGGGCATGATTATCCTAGTTTCCTCTGTCCCAAACATGAGTGCCCACTGTGTGAAGGCGCTGTGCCCGGAGCATGCCCTGCTGCAAGCCTGTGCTTTGCTTGGGGGCTAGTGGATGGCTCTGGCCCATGTGGGTGTTTGGTCCCTTTTCAGGCCAGGTCCTTGGTGCAGAAAGCAGCTCTGCTTGTGCAGAGAGACCCCAGCTCACTTGCGGCTGTGAGGCTCACAGGCGTTTTCAGTTTTAATGAGGCCTTCAGAAGGTGTGGGAGTGTGCACAGCTCCTGAGGGCCTGTAACCAAGTGATGCTTTGGCAACGTTTCCAGGCTAAGGCTATGAAAAATGCCCTTTGGTTTACTTGTCCTCTCTGGGTGTAAGCTGTGCTGGATATGTCTCATGAGAAGGAGCCCCTTGCTTTAATTCTCACTGTGGTGCTTCTGCACCCATTAAGCACGTGACAGCAATGAAGACCTCTTGGCTGCCCTGCCGTGCCTTTCAGCACCAGTTTTTGTCCTTCCCACTGTGCTGGGAGATGTCTCTGCAGCACATGGCAATGCCTTCTGGCCTGACAGTGGGATTTGGCCAAAGGGCACCTTGTATTCCCCAAGGTGCTTCTCCTCCTTGAAGAGAAGGGAAGCAGAGGGTCATAGGTAGTGGGGACGTTACAGAAGTCATGGGAGGGAGGGTTGGAAGGAGCTGCAGCTCCTAAAGATCCCTGCAAGCCCCGAGGCTGGGGCACTGATGGGGTCTGAGGAGAGAGTTGGTGGTTCAGGTTTTTGGTCAGGTGCAGGACAGTGGAAATCCCTGTGCACCTCTTTGGAGAGCCGGCTGGCATGGCAGGGCAGGCACCAAGCGAGGAGGGAGGGCATCTCCCATGGGTCAAGAGTGCTTTTGCAGTGCGTGTTAGGGAAAATGGGTGCACACATCTGTGCCCTTTCTACCCGCGGTGCCATGCCAGCTGCTGGTGGCACATCCAGCTGGTGATGGGAGTTAATTTGTGCAAAAGCCCCTGTGGGCGTCTCGATTAGAGTGAGTTACATCACTGATGTTGGGGCAGGTTGTGGGTAAGTTCTGCCCTGAAGCACGCTGCTCCTGTATTATTCATGGGCCTTCATGAATTAGCAATGGGCCGGGAAGGCTGCTGTCTATTACTTACAGAGTTGCCCTTAAGTGTTAGGATAGCGGCTCTCCCCAGCAGCCTCCTTTCGTGAGGACATTTGTAACGGAGCAGAATTTCTCCCCCATTGCCTCTGAGCTCCCCCAGCTCCCTGCCAGCTCCTAGGGTACAACTCTGGTTACCTGATCTGCTACTAGCTGAGCCCATGGCCCTTACCCACATGCCATCCCATGTCCTGCTGGTAGCAGTGACCTTGGGAGAATCCCGAGGAGAATGTGGATTCGTGGCCATGCTGAAGAGGATGCAAAACCTGTGTGAGGCACTGGCAGTACCTGTTGTAGCATGCAGTGAATGCGTTGTCATTTGAATCCCACCAAATCACTGTGCTAATCTGCTCTGGTCTGTTATATTTAGTACTTTGGCCTTTAAGTCACTTGTTTGAGCCTTGTACCTGTCTTGCAAAGGTTTAGGTGCTTTTGATGGGAAAGGAATGAACTAATGAAAAGCCACAGAGTGAAGTTTAACTCAGTGTGTATTCTAAAAAAAAAAAAAAAAGGTCAGATGGTATCTTGTTCTATGAGAAGATTCAAAGTGGCGTTATTAGGGTTCAGGTTTAACACCCCTGGTTGCTACCAGAAGATCCCTTCTTCTCCTCCTTTTGCAGTACTGTATGGATGAAACAGCAGCTGCATGTTTGGAAGGTTGTTTCCAAATCCTGTTAGTCTGTGGAATTAATTTTGTAAAAGCAAGCATGAATTTTGCAGTAACACGTGGAGCAGACCAGAAAAACAGCTTCTCCTTGTGTGACAGGGTGATCTAGATGTTGCATGAAGCAACGGTTTGACCTTTGGAGATGCTCTTCTGCTTTGGGGTGACTGAGCTCACCTTTTGTACCACTGGCTTATCTACTCCCTACTTTCTTTTACTTCACAGTTATGTGGGGAGATATTTTGTTTGTTCAGGCTGTTTTGCTCAAGTTATGGTTGCAACCCACATAGGTAACTCAGTCCTGGCTGAGCATTGGGCTCCTCTCCTCCCTGCTGGGACCTGCCCTCCTTGCATCTCCACAGAGAGCTGCAGGGCTTTAAAAATGTAAATGAAATGGTTAATAGGTTGGAAAATCAATTATAATAAACATTCCTGGTATATAAACTATGCGTAAGTGTGTTTTAAATGAAGTACTTTAAAGGTAGTGCTTTTTTCCATTTCTCCTGGCTGGGTCAGCAGGGTCTCAGTGCAGTGCTGTTTGATTTGATTAAAATGCATGATACCCTGCTCATTAGCTCATGTCCTGGGTCACCAGGAGGCTATGTTCATACAAGGTACTCGGGAGAAGAGCTGCCAGCTTCACTGAGAGCTTGTGGTGGCTGGAGGTGTGCTTTGCCCAGCAGGGTCTGGGACCTCCACTGAAGTGGGATTTGAAGATGTGAATCAGTACTTTAGGGCAGTGGGAAGCTGCCTGCTCCTTTGCTGAGGGATGAATGTTTCGGCTGTATGGATGGCTGTGGGACCAAGCTGCAGATGTGCAGATCTTGCAGTGAAAGACATTGTGTTTATCCACGTGCTGCCCTGGGACATGTAAAACCTTATGTGCGCGCGTGAAGGAGACTGTGTGAATGCATGGATGTGTATGTGTAACCTTGGTCTCTCTGGAGTCGGGAGAGATGTGAACAACATGTGCCAGAAGACCCCAGGCAAATAATGCGGAGGAGATTCTCCCTTAGCTCTAAAGGGCCCCTTGCACCTGCGTGGTGGCCATCCTCCTTGGGGACCCTGGAGCCAGACGATGGCCCTGCTGGTCCTTCCCCACCCCACCGTTCTTTCTCATGCTCTCTCTGCCTGTAGGAGACTAGAGAGGAACCTTTTTAACTGCAGCTGTGACATCCGCTGGATCCAGCTCTGGCAGGAGAAAGGCGAGGCGAACCTGCAGTACCAGGAGCTCTACTGCATGAACATGGATGCTGCCGTCATCCCTTTGCAGGAGATGAACATCACCCAGTGTGGTAAGGCACAGCCTGCACTGGGCTCCTGGGGCTGGGTGCAGGGGAGGGCAGGAGGGTGCTAGGAGGGAGCCCTGTCCTGTCTGGCACCTCTGGTTCAACCATTCGCTTGGGGAACCTGGTGTAGCGGAATCCCACCATGTGGTCAAGAACAAGACAATTGACGCTGATTGGGATAGTTTGTGGATTAAAAATAGAGTATCTGTGTAAGTGTGGGGGTGGCGTTGCTGTATGAGTGAAGGTATTGGGTGATTTGGGGCATTTCCTTCACTGTAATGCTGTTGCTTGACAAAATGTGTGAAGAGTCTACGTGATCTCTTGAAAAAGGGTATTTTTCATGTTGTTTTTCTTCCATCTAACAAATCCTAGAAACAGCATATTGTTAAAAGATGCCACCTTATCTTTTGTAATTACTCTTAGGAAATACATGTCTGTATTCATTTTCTTTTGTTTTATTTTTTCAATTGAAAGCCCATGTCTGTAGGGAAGAGGCAGGAGTGACTTTATATCTCTTTGTTTCCTGCTGGTGTTTAAAAAAGGTCCGGGGGCC